CCCTCTCTCTCCCCCCCTCTCTCTCTCTCTCTCTCTCTCTCTCTCTCTCTCTCTCTCTCGAATTGTTAATACATGGTAGATATCAAAAGTGGCTTTTCGTGTCCAGACTTTTATTAGATCTCTAATTTCGTCTTATACGCCATAAAAAATTCTAAACGTAAAAATAAGTTTTTTTTCTCGTTGCTTAGTGTCTCTTAGATTATTAATCATTAATAAATTCTTTACTCTTCTGATTTAATTATGGAACGTGATGATGGCAGTATTTCAAACATTAGGCTAAAATTCACTTATTTAAACAGGAAGTTGCCATTACTAGCATAAATATTTCATATTATTAGTTTTCTATACTTAATAATAACAACTTTAAATTTCTTAATTTATGTACAAGATGTAATATAATATGTCAATTGCTTTAAAGTACTGAATTCTTTTCAAATGAATCTTTCCTCTTATGTTACATCCTATGTAATTACGAATACATAACACCTATCTGAATATACTAGGCCTTACTTTGTCACAAAGATACTTGGCAAGTCATAATATTATCTGTCTAAAATAATGTCTAAAATACTTTAATATTTTACATATTTCTAGATTGCTCAATTCATATAATCCATTATTATTTTATCTACTTATAAAGTACACTTTAAGTTCTTCGCTTATACATTTATAGCAGCCATCTGAAGTATTTTTATATATAAAACTCGCACAAAATTGCTTTTAATACTTGTTTAGAAGGCTAATACTTAATCAAATGTTTTTAGATTTATGGAAGGCCTTTGTATTGAGTACAATTTATAAATTACGCTTTTTTTTTTCCAAGTATAATAAAAAAGTATTTTTATCTTTTGATAGTAATAAAAATAATATGAAAAGTTTCATAGTAAAATAATACATTATCTAACGCATCAAAAATCGCAAATAAAATAAATCACTATTATATGATACTATCATAATGGTACTCATCACTTAATTCTGATGTTCTGAGATTGTATCTACAAAGAAAAAGCAATTGTGACGATTTCTTAAAACAATGGCTGTATTGAAGCTGGACGAAGCTGCTAGAATGATCGAATGTGATTGATAAGTAAGAACTAATCATGTTCAACTGCTAAACAAACAGGCTAACTGTTTTGTTTGCTTAAACATGCTTAATGTTTCGAGGAAATAACGTCTTATCTTTTTAAATAAATGACAGTGAATTCAGTTTTATCAGTCAACAGTAATTCGTTTCCATATCTCGATGGACAGTCACAAGTGCTAAAACATGATGTGGCGATCCTAAACATGTCGTAGGAGAAGGTATTTCAATGCCGGATTGTTTAATCAAATCCGTTTCGTTGTCATTTTCGACGGCTAATAGGGGTTCGGAGGCAAAAGTTTGTTGTTCTGAATCATCGTGAGGTGTCATTGTACTATACCCATGATCACTGTCCCCACCAGGAGGTCTTCTGTAGTTAGTAGAAACTCTGTACGGTGATATAGGCGCCACACTGTCTCTCACAAGACAATCTAAATTATTTTTAATCTGATCTAATTCTGCAGGTTCCGGATCGCCATCGATATGTGTCATACGTAATGTATCGGGTGAGGTATGAAGATGCAAACATTGATGCTCCAGACCCGAGTGCATCGATCGGAGTCTGTAGCAGAACAGAATGAAGCCTAGAATCAAAAACAGTGCAAGAATTCCACCAGCTACCGGTCCAACTGATGGCCATTCTCGTACCGCAATCTCGTCGGTCGATTGCGAATCTGAAAACGCATAATTTTGTTATCTATTAGGTTAATGCAAATATAAACAAAAAAGAATTTTAAAAAACAATATATTATAAAAGGCTCGTAAGAATAAAATTCTATGATATGAAGGACTATTCAGCCAAGCCGATTGTTTTTGCTTCTAAATTTTTTAATGTCAAATAAATATAAATAAATAAATTGTCAACACATACGTTTCAACCCTTTACATTGGGTTATCTTCAGTATAAATTAACGCTTTAAAATCTTATGGACCGTTGTTAGTCGTATATATTTATATTTATTTGACATTAAAGAATTTAGAAATAAAAATAACCAGCTTGGCTCAATAGCCCTTCATTATCTACATGGAAAAAAAAAACGAACTTACTATAAGTGCCGTCGCTGTAAGGTACTAAAGAACCGAAAATTCCTTTAAAACATACGGACATATCAGAGCAAAACGGTTGTTGTAAAGGAGACTCCCCATCGGTGTCGACATGACACCATTGACAATCCGCTACACCTAAACAGTCTCTCTCCGTTAGATACGATTTGCAGTTGGTAATTGGGCACGATTTCAAATTCATCGGCTCTATCCACGGAGTTTGTAAATTAGATCCTTGCTCATATATAGGTGGACAAGGATCCAAATTGTCGATATTTTGTTGCATACAGGTAGAAGAATACAAGGAGCATTCGCAAGGACATTCGCAACCAGTTTGTTCCATACTTTTGCAATTCAGGCATGAATGATCCATCTGTAATGTTTAATAAACAGACATAATATATTATTTAGTAAATAAAAAATTTGTCTTAGAAAATAAAAATTGTGAGCTTACCGTACTGCACGGACAAAAAGCTCTAAGCAAATTACATTGAGTAGTCATATTCACAACACCAAGGAATACATTGGTGCCTGGTACAGCTGCTACCTGATATCTAACACAGTGCTCGCCATGTGCCATATTAGTGAGCACCTCGTCGAGCGACGTATTAAATTGATAGTATCTTTGCACAGTACCATCTAAGTAGCTAGCGCATGATTTCTTTTTCACGAACATTCCATGATTCAATATATCATTAGCCACTAAAAGTTCCTTGTGTGTTAAATGCTGTTGTTCGATCTTGCCTGTTGCTTCTAACAGCTTTGGATGTGATACCAAATAGCCTTTGTCATCCATCAAGAAACATTTTACAGTTGCATCATGACAGAATGGAAACGTTTCTAACAACAATCTCATAATGTAACCCATTGTAACATCCATAGATAGAACAGCAATTACGTAATTTGTACTTCCATTAATCTTCACAGAATATTTGACAGTTTGACTCAGAGTGACAACATAGCCTGATCCACCTGCATCTAAGTAAGGCGGAGTTAAGATTATCTTATCAAATTGTTCCAGTATCTTCCCGTACCATATTCGCCTTTTGGGATCAAAACCAGAATCCAATACCATTCCTGGAAATATTTCCAATACACCACTAACCGTACTAACAACATATCTAAAATCAAAATAAAATTAATGTAATCTTATAAGTCATTGATAATTATGTGTAAAATTATAATTACTTATAATTACCTTCTTATAATAAATTTATTTAACGAACTCTCGGCGTGCTGTTTTTTAAAATATTCTAAAACTGGTGCTAACATCGATACATCTGATTTAACAGATGGATGTAAACCAGGATTAGCCAAAAGACCCGTTACATCTTTTAGATATGCCATGTAACTTTGTACATTGACGGTTGAACCTGTTTCTAGTAATTTCAGTTGTTCCATTGGAGATTGAAAGCACCATGGTGATAAATAAATTACACCTGTTGCTAAAAAAAAAAAGAAAGATGAGTTTTTACAATATTTTATATATTATTAAGATCTTACAAACAAAATAACTAAAGTAATAGATTTTAATCTCTTACATAAAGTTACAATCTTGTTTCTGTAAATGCAAAATATATCTTTATCAACGACAGTTTGAAGCATAAGATCGAGGCGGTGATGTAATATATTTGCCGGTAGTGGAGGTGCATTTCTCGCGATTGGCAATATTCCTTCCTCAGTCGTCGATACCAAGCATATTATCAAATCATTATAATTTAAATGTTTCCATCTATATCGCTTCTATATTATACATTAAAGAAAAATATTTTGTGTTTTATTTTTTCTTATTTTATCTTCAAATATATTTACAGATATATTATCTTACCTGTTCCCCTAATTTTGTTTTTACATTTATGATTCCTTTAAACTCATTTATCATCTTCAATACTGTTTGACTATCTATATTTTCAATGTCTTGTAAATGCACTTTAAGCGGTTGCTCAACCATTGTTTCAAATCTAGGAAAATTTTTATGCATCCAAACCACTCCTTTGCTATCAAAGAATATAGCATATATGTTTGAACCAACATTGAAATATGTTACGTCATCGAGGAAATCACGTAGTTTTATATCCAAGGATAATAACGCAGTCTTTCTAACTTGCCCGATAGATATTGTCATTGTCTTGCTATACGGCTCAATATATGGGTCTGATATATAAAAATCTTTCTTAGTACGATCAGGACATTGCAAACACGAAAATAATTTTCCTATCTCATATCCAAGAACATTTTGCATTGGAAAAATGATGATACTGTCATTGCTTAATTTTTTAGTAACAGTGGACGCTTGCTGATCTAAAAATAAATTATGGTATAGAAACATTTTCTATGCAGGGTCTGGTCAAATAATATGTAAAAGCAAACACCACATGATTCCTAATGAAAAAATAAACAAACATCAAAACATTTTATTCTATGTTTTAATTTTTCATAAGAAATCACGTTGTGCCCGCTTTTATATATTATTCGGTCGGATCCTGTATAATTAAAGTAATAAAATTAGTTTACCTGTAACAATAATAGTTTTTAGATAGACTTTAAACTGTTCTGAAATAATTTCAAAAATTCTTTGTGCATTTGATGTATTTTGTAATCTATTAGTTAAATGTAAAATAAGCACTTCACCCTTTAGATTTTGTGTTAATTTTATAAAATCAATCTTTATTACTTCATTTGAATCTAAAAGAAAATTAAGAAAGGATAAGATTAGCATATATTTTATAAACAATATATACATTTCATTAATAAGAACGATAATAAGAATAAAACAAAATAGATAGACTGAAGATAACTAGATTATATAAAAGATAACAAATCATATATTATAAATAAAAAATTCAAAAATAAGAAAAAATATAATTACTCTCATCTATTTACCTATTCTAGTTAAACTATCAATATAGCGGGTCAATTGAAATTTATTAATATCCGTCGCTTTTAACAAGCTATCATTACAAAGCAGAGGAACAGTATGAGCCAGGCCCACAACAGTAACATTATCTGCTTCAGAAAGCATATCTATAATAGTTTTGGCTGTCAATTGAACCAAGGCTAGCTCGGATTCAGACATGAATGTGCCATGTTCCAAAAGTAAAATGACATTTTTTTCACGACAATACTGGGATAATAAAAGAGGTCCTACATTATAAGCCAATGTAGATAATCCACACATTGTATCTGGTTCATTTACTGGCAGTATATGTATGCTTTTCCAGTCTTGACCTCTTAACTGCCTTGTAAGTTCTGTAATCAAACTTAATAATGTGTCACATTATCTCGAGAAGCAAGAACTGTATATTTAACAAAAAATACCTTTCGTAATTTCCATACATATATTTGAAACTCTGTTCATCTCCATCATATCGTAATCGACTAATTGACTAGAATAAGTATTAGGCAGTGGATTGTGTTCCAGTATACGGTGTACGACTTCGTAGACTTGATTGAAGACATTGATGTGCGCCACCAATTTATTATTAAATTTGTCAACTAAAACGCTCAATTTTGCATCCAAATTGCTGGAGACATTCGTAAATTCTATTTTATCGATCATCTCCTGAAACGAGGAAGCGCCGAGCTCTTCGTTGACGATAGATTTCAGCATCTTCGACAGGTGGATCACGACATCGCGCAAGCACATGCCGTTCAGGGGTTCCGCTGGCACCTGTTTACGCATCGACTTGCCAAACTGGCACCTGGCGGCATCGTCATTAGCGGCTACGCACAGATTTATCAATATTAACACCGAACCCAAGCACAAAATCTTGTTTGCAGCCATTCCAGCGAAGCTTCGGTGGCAAGCGTCTTTTATCATAAAATCATAACCTTACAAATTCATACTATGATAACAACAACAGTTCATGCCGGCGATATTTAAATCTATTCTAGAGAGGAAACTGAAAAAGAACAGACTTGAGCGCCGCGACTTAACGCCACAACGTCGGAGTGGTCGGAGTCCGAATGTCGGAGCGACGGAGACGCGTTTTCTCATCATCCGTTTCGTAAATCGTGGGGATGTTTCGGCTGGTTTCGGCCCGTGTGCTACGTGAACGTGAACTCATAAACACCCAATGTGGCGTTCGAGTTTGGTAGGTTATGGATTGAGGTTTCGGGGTGTGGCATCGTTATTCGGCGGGTGGAACGTTGCGAAACGCGGGCAAGTAGCAGCACGATTGGGCGCGATGTCACGTTGTTGAGATTACGCTTGAAGCGCGCGCGACAATCGCAAAGTGGGTCCGTGCATACGAGATTACCTCCGGTTGTGTGTATCTTTTTTTTTTTTCCCCCCTTAATGCGGATACTCGACATCTCGATGCGGTCCCATGATTCGATTTGACGTTTACTGACGTTTTCGTGCGTTAACAGAAGCGAGAGAGATCGTAACGTGGACCTAATTGCAAAAGCTATGCCCGGGACGTTCTTATGTCGTTCCTCACGTTAAAGCGCTCTCGTCTTACGTTTTTGACGCGAGACAGAACGAGTTGCTGAGCCGCAACGACGAGGCAGGCCGTGGTCCATGAAACCACGTGTAACAAACACGACGTGGGATGTTGAGCGCAACCACCCCCACTCAGCCCCACGAGTACACCGAGATGTCTCGGTTAGCCGACTACTTTGTTGTGGTCGGCTACGATCATGAGAAAGAAAGTAAGTTCATTGTCGAGACGCACTTGACACTCCATCGTTCGCGTCGGCATTTTTCTGTTCTTGTTCGGTATTTTCTGAGTTCAATTTTGTTGTATCTTTCCCATTAAAATTAACAATGTCTAGACTTTGAAGAAAAGTTGAAAGAAGTTAAGTGAAATGTTGAAAATAAAACAGAATGTAGACTATTTTTGGTTTCAGGAGATACGTGGTGTATTTCTGAAAAAAATATACAGTGATTGTTTCATCTTTGTTTAACATCGTTAAACAATAAGTAATATTACACTGTGTCATCTTTATTTCTTGTTGGAAAGTACCTACTGATAAGTTGTTTTTTTGTTTCTATCAACATTTGGATAATTCTCATTTGTGACATTATAACTCAGTTGAATGCACATTCCTTTTTATTCTGATCAATTTGAAACCTTTATGCATAATTGATATTAAAAACGAGATTATTAATCTGTGTTGTTATGCAATAACTGTCAGTGAAATATTTTATTTTTGTTTAACATTAATGAACAAGGATATAATGATTCACTGTATTATATTGTGTCAACAATATTTCTTACTAGAAAGCATTTTGCAGCATTTAATATAAAACAGAATGACACTTGTATTGATTGTGTCTTTTAAAAGTAAAGAGAGCAACCATAGTTTAACTTTCTATACAAATACATATAGCAAATTCTTGGTTGATCCATAACTTATTGCTGTAATAGTTAACATCAACAAATATATAATATAATACGTTTGTTTTATATGCATGTGTTACCATTGCAGGGGGTGGTGTAAGTAGTGGAGTTATATTACAACGATTTCCAGAAAAAGATTGGGTGGATACACCTTTTATTGAAGGAATAGAATGGGTAACTATTTCTTTCTGAGGATTCATTATATCATATTATTTACACATGTACTGTTTTACAGTTTTGTCAGCCGCAAGGATGGGCTTTATCGACGGAAAGGCAAGAGCCACGCTTCTTTGTTTCAATATTAACAGATATTGATGCAAATCGACATTATTGCGCTTGCATGTGCTTCAATGAAACGGTATCAATCGTGCCAAGCAAACCCGTAGACGAGGAAGAGGATCCCGTAGATGGAGATAGTCGCCCTTTGGTCAGGGCAATACCCGCCATTGCACATCATAGCATTATGTATGCACCCAAATGTCTGGTGCTGGTTTCCAGACTTGATTATATAGAAACATTTAGAGTATGTGAATATTTATACATTTAATACAAGATCTGTTTTCTATATCTGAACTAGTGTACACTTTAAAAAATTTAAAGTAAAATAGATGTATATTTGCTATTTAGCAAAAGCGAGAAAGTTCTAGTTCAGGAATAAAAAACAGATTCGTAATTAATACTTTATCAACTGTGCTTTCCATCAATTTAATAATGATTTATTATTTTTGTAGAACTGTCTTGGTATTATATACACGGTGTACGTGGAAAATCTTGGTATACCATTAGAAACGTTAGTCGGAAACATATTAGGATGTATCCAAGTACCTCCCGCTGGTGGGCCACAGGTACGATTCAGTATTGGAGCAGGGGATCGTCAGGCACTTCAACCACCCATTAGTCCTTCTCTTCCTATAACTCATACTAGTGTAAATTTATTATTTCAACAATTAGGTAAGAATGTAATAAAGCACGCAATTTGCAATGAACTGTCGATATATATTGTGTCACTAGCTAATATATAATGTTATTTTTAGGTATACGCAATGTGTTAGTATTATTTTGTGCAGTTATGACAGAACATAAGATACTTTTCCACTCTGCCAGTTATTCTCGACTGACTGAAGGGTGTCGTGCTCTGACAGCGTTGATGTATCCATTCAGATACTCACATGTTTACATTCCTCTTTTGCCAGCGGCTTTAGTTGAAATACTCAGCACCCCAACACCATTTATTATGGGTGTACACAGTTCGTTAAAATATGAAGTTGCTGAACTCGTAAGATTTTTATATATAATTTTGAAAAATTATTTTAATTTCAACGCTTATTACGATCTTTACGTTTACAGATGGATGTAATAGTCGCCGATCTGGACGGAGGTTCGTTGACAGTTCCGGATGGTGTTTCGCTTGCTTTACTACCGGAACCGTTGCTCTCGCAGACGCAAGACGCGTTATCCTTAGTGTTGCAGCCAGAACTGGCGTGCGCGGATTACGCATTTCCTCCACTCGCTACTAGGGCTCCACATTCTCCTATGCTCGACAAAGAACTCAGGGCAGTATTTATGAGAACCTTTGCTCAATTGCTGCAAGGATACCGAAGCTGTTTGACATTGATACGAATACACCCGAAACCTGTTATCACTTTTCACAAAGCGGCATTTCTAGGAGAGAGAGGTTTAACCGACTGCGACTTCACCACGAGGGTTCTGGATTGTATGTTTTTTACATCTTTTATCGCAGAAAGAGGTCCACCGTGGAGACCTTGCGATGTATGGGATGAATTATACAGTAATTTGAGTGATCAGTTGAAACAGGAAACACAGGATCATCGAGTCATCTTGACACATATTCAAGAGCTAGCTCAGCAGTTATATTTGAACGAAAATCCGAATCCTCAACCATATGTGCAGAAAATTTTGAAGCCACCCGAGGGCGCATTTGCGAGGATTCACCAGCCTCTCTTGCCACGTATCAATCCGGAGCAAGTTCAAGCGATTATCGATGAAGGCCTTGCGAAGAATAATCTTAAAGTCCGATTGTCGTCCCTGCGGCCGATTCAACCTCGTATCGTGCCTATAGGCCCGCACATTTCATTCGTTCATGACACTAGACACCTAGTTAGTAATTCAGCTCGCAGATTAGAAGTATTACGCAATTGCATCAACTGTATATTCGAAAATAAGATTTCGGATGCTCGCAAGACATTTCCAGCCGTCTTGCGAGCTTTAAAAAGTAAAGCTGCTCGGTTGGCACTCTGCATGGAGTTGTCACAGCATGTGGTCGGAAACAAGGCTATGTTAGAGCATCAGCAATTTGATCTGGTGGTACGTTTGATGAACTGCGCGCTGCAAGACGACTCGTCGATGGATGAGCACGGAGTTGCCGCTGCATTACTGCCGCTCGCCACCGCTTTCTGCAGGAAGTTGTGCACTGGCGTAATTCAATTCGCATACACCTGCATTCAGGAGCACCCGGTATGGCAGAATCAACAATTTTGGGAAGACGCTTTCTATCTAGACGTACAGAAAGACGTTAAACGTTTGTATTTGCCAGGGGACAATTCACCACCTAGGCTCATGAACGATGTTATTTTGAGTCCTATCAGTCCACGAGATGGTAAAGAGTTTCCATACCGTGACCGATATTCCATTTATCAGGCTCAGGAGCCATCAGCGTTAGAGATAGCTGCGGATCAGATGCGTATCTGGCAGTCCATTGATCCCGAAAAACAAAAAGAACTCGTGAATAGTGAAGAGAGTACCATGTACAGCCAGGCTATTCATTATGCCAACAGAATGGTCTATTTATTAGTGCCGTTAGATATTGGCTCGAAAACGCATCGTCAGGATCACATCTACGACGAGGAGCGTGCCAGTAATAGTATCACGAATAGCGTGGCGAGCGACAGCGGCGACGCCGAATCAGGATTCGAAGAGACCGATCCAGGTGAAACTGGCAGTGCTGTCATTCGAATGGTCTCGCGATTTGTCGATCGTGTGTGCACAGAGGGTAGTGTTAGCGCCGAACATGTACGTTGTCTACATCAAATGGTTCCGGGTGTTGTTCATATGCACATCGAGACACTCGAAGCAGTTCACAGGGAAAGTAAGAGACTTCCACCGATACAAAAACCGAAGATCCTGACACCGAACATGTTGCCTGGCGAGGAAGTGATAATGGACGGCTTGCGTGTTTATCTGCTGCCGGATGGCAGAGAGGAAAGTTCCTCAGGATTACCCAAGATACCGCCTCTCTTGCCAGCCGAAGGTGCAATCTTTCTCACTAATTATAGAATAGTGTTCAAGGGTATACCTTGCGATCCATTTGCTTGCGAACAATTGGTCGTTCGTGCTTTCCCTGTGACGTCTTTAACTAAGGAGAAGCGTGTCGCTGTGCAACATTTAGCGCACTTGGATCAATGTCTTCAGGAAGGCCTGCAATTACGTTCCTGTACGTTTCAGTTGATAAAATTGG